CGCCCTGTGCGTCTTTCTCTCTTCCGCTTTTGCCAACGGCCCGAGAAAGCTCTGTTCGTAAAGGGCGCACCTGCTGAGGGGCGGCCCACCAGGGAAGCCCCCTTCGGCCATCGAATGGCACATAATCACGGGAGTAAGGCCAGGGGCAAAGGACTGGACCTCAGAGTGCCAACCTCTAAGCGATAAGAAATCAGTGAAATGCCCACGAGGCCTTACAGCCGACACGACGAGGACACACAACGTGACCCGTGGCCCGGAGCCGGGCAGCTGGCTGTGACGGGCGGGCTCAGATGCCACGCATTTTTGTCTTTCCAGTTGGGTTGTAAGGTCTCTGATGGCAGAACCTGGGGCTCGGGAGTTTGAAGCAGTTCCCCAGTGTCACCCTGTGGCGGCGGGGAGTGGGGGGTGGAGAGGGACTGGGGTGCTGCTCCCACGTGTGCGCGGTGCCGGAACGCCCCGCCCCGCCCGCTTCTTCCGCAGTGGCGGCTCTGCAAGCCGAGATGGAGAAACTGGCCCTGCATCTCTTCTACGTGCAGAACGCCGACCAGGACGTGAGGAGCGACATCCGCATCATGAAGCAGGTCGTGAAGAAGTCGGAGGCCGAGCGGATGCGGGCCGAGGCGGAGAAGCAGCAGCAGGTACTCCGCGGACCCCTCTCCCCGCGCCTTCGACCTTCCAGAAGGCGCCTGGCGCTGGCCCTCGCGTGAACGCCGCTGCCCGGATTGGCCGCGGCCGGCCTCGGGGTCATCGGCTTGGGTCGGGGGTTGGTCCTTGTCCTTGAGATGCTGACCCGCAGTCCCGTTTCCCAGGACCTGCACGTGGACCAGCTCACCACGCAAACCAACCAGCTGGAGGAGCAGGTCGCCCTGTTCGAGGCCCAGGCGTATGCCCAGGCCCAGGACACGCGTGCCCTCAAGCAGGCGCTGAGCGAGGTGAGAGCGACACCGCGACCCTCGGCGGCAGACCACCCACTTAGCGCCCAGCACGCGCGTCGGGGCGGGGCCTCCGTGCCTGCTGGAGGAAGGCCTGAGCCCCCCTTAGCCGGCAAGCTCTCGGTACAGCTGCGGGTCTTCGCAAGTATCTAGGGGTCCCATGTGGGGATGAAGTAGGGACCGCAGACCTGTGGCCGGTGCACTTGCCCTCCCGTAGCCAGGATCCGGGCAGTTCTGCTCAGTGCCGCTTGGCTGGTTCCTTAGCAACGGCAGGTGTGGGGAGAGGGGCGCTGAGGTCTCCTATGGTCCCCAGACCAGGCAGCTGGGGCCGCGGCCGCTGCCCACATGCCCACTCCATGTGGGATAAGGGAGAGAACAGACTCAGCACAGCCCCAGATTTGGTGGCCAGCACTAGAAACCAGACTCGCTACATTTTTCTTTTTTAATCTGCGAATGACCTTCTGCATACGCGTGTGCAGGGACGACGGAAGCAATTATGGAAGCAACAACCTTTCACCGAAGGAAACAGAACAGGGCTTGAAGGAAGGACGCAGAAAGCTGCCTGTCCTCTCCGACCTCGGGACAGGCTGGATTCCAGCGTGCTCCAATCAGCGTCTCGGGAGAAAAGCACCAACTTTACAGTGAACTGAAAGCGATTCTTTATCTGAAAAATGAATTCAGAGGACTAGCCAAGATTCATTTTGGAAGAGAAGGTTTGGGAAGGGTGACCAGCGGTCCCAGTTTGGCCCAAACTGAGACACGAGACTCTCCAGTGTCTAAAACCATAGCGTCCCGGGCAAACGGGGATGGTCAGTCTGCCTAGCATCGCCCTACCGATTGTTAAGTACCAGAAAGCCCAAGAGGCAAAAACAACGTTATTGGAGCCAGGGAGCCCCGGGTAGGCAGGGGAGCCTGTGGGGGAGCCCAGGAAGCATGCAAACGTTTATATGAAAACATTATAAATTATGGAGCACAAGTGAATTATGCACCCAGTGGTGTTAGCGAATTTGGTTAATCATTTGGGGTGTGTGGGGGGGATTAAATCTTTTTCTCATACCAGATGCTTAAATAAATTCTAGACGGGATCAAGGATTTAGCGGGGGAAAATGGAGCAGAGGAAAATAAAAGATCTTAATAAAATCCTGGGTCGAAGAGGTCTTTCTAAGCGTGACGTGGAAAGCAGACACTTTAAAGGAAGAGATGAGGATGGTGGGCACAGCTTCTGTGGATTACAGACGGAGGCCACCAACAAAACGGAGAGACGAAGACGGGAAAGATGACTTTCGGCTACAAGTTCCGTGGCGGGAAGAGATGTTGAAAACCTGTAGGACGCACCCCGTACCCGTTCGTACCGCGAGGTGGCCGCGGCCTGCACGCGGTTCTGTCTTTTGGTGCCTGGCTCCCGTCCTTGCTGGGCGGGTCGCTGCCGGGGCAGGGCCCCCCCGCCTGTCGTTCACGTTGCGCCCCACGCTTACGACAGGTGCACCGCAGACATCCGCGAATGAACGAATGAGGATCGGTGATAGAGAAAGACGAGGCAGCCCCTTTGCCCACCGGCTCGGCCGAGTCGACGGCGGGCAGAGGGGAACAGGCTCCCTCGCCGAGTGAGAGTGCGCATCGGCCCTCCTCGGGAGCCCCATTCGGAGACAATGTCATGATTCTCATTGGGAAAGGGACTCCCCATCCAAGCTCGGCTTCTGCCACCCCACCTCTGGAACACCGCGTCCGTGCCACCACAGCCCGTCCGCCTCTGCTTCCTCCTCTCCAGCCTAGGAAGGCTGTGCGCCCCACCCTGGACGCTCACATCCCGCAACCTGTCATCTGGAGACACCCCCCACCCCCCGTCCAGCATGGGCTCCTTACAGTGAGGGGGTGTCAGCATCGTGGCTGTGCCCATCTCGTGTGGCCTGAGACCCCAGTCTGTGGACGGGCGTCATCGTGACCCACCCTGGGTCTGGGGTCTGGCGTGGGGCAGGTGTCCATCAATGTTGGCCCGCTGCCTTGCTCCCCCGGCACCGAGCCCGTGGGACCCCAAATAAAGGCCCAAGCAGAGGTTCGGCGAGTCTTTAGCACTGCGTGTAATTCCGTGTGCGTCCCTTTGCTGGGGCACGGTGACGAAGAGCCAGGGACACGCGGGGAAGGGAGCCGGTGCAGGACGGGGCGCGCTCACGGCTGCCCCTCGGGGGCTCTGAGCAGAGCGACGTCAGGCGACCTCCGCGTAACCCCCGCTGCAGGCCTGCACGGAGATAGACAGCATCAACGTGGAGAAGACCCACATCCTTCAGCAGTGGAGCACCAGCCTGGTGGGCATGAAGCGTCGGGACGAGGCTCACAGGGTCATCCAGGAGGCGCTCAGGTATGGCCCGCTCAGGGGGGTCATGGTGGCGGGAGCCGGGGGGCCTGGGTGAGGGGCGAGGGCTCAGGGAGCTGCGTGGGAGCTGCAGAGGCGGGGGTGCCGGCCCCTGCCCCTACCTCCGCCCAGGCGAGCAGGCCTCCCGGGACCAAGGTGGCACCTGCCGCCAGCTTCTGTCCTGAAAGCTCCCTTATTGTTTGCCCTAAGTCCTTTCAAACGTCTGTGGCCCTGGGGCCGCCAGCTTCCGTGATCAGATTTCCTGGGAGGACTGGGGAGAATCGGAGCGTGAGAAAGACAAGGATGCTTGTCTTTGGGAGATGAGGTGTCCCTTTGATTGGCAGTCTCACCACCTGTGTGCGGAAGCGCCACCCCTCGCGATTGTTCTGCCGAGGGCCGTGTTCCATCTGAAATCCTGTTCGTGTCCTGCTCTGTCACTTCTAAAGGGTGGCTGTGTGGCTCGGGCCGGGTGTTGGAGATGGCACAGCTCTGCCTCCACTCCCCAAACCGCCCGGGGCGTGGGGGACCCGGATGTGATACCTGAGAGAAGCCGCGGGCCACTTCGCTTTGCCTTGGTCCACGGCTGGCGCCAGCGCGGAGCGGGGAAGGGAGCCGGTGCCGGGCAAGACTGGCTAACGGGGGAAAGGGTCGCGGTCATCAGCTCCTGGTGCTCAGACAACCAGGAGACTCCTTTCCCTCCTGGTCCCGTGGTTACACATGTATACACACATGTGCACACACACGCGCGCACACACTCATGCACACTCACACACAGTGACACACACAGTGATGCACACATACTGTCACACACACACATACGTGCACACACACTCATACACTCATATACTCACACATACTCTCAGACTCATGCATTTACACATATACTCACACACTCACACTCATGCACATTCACTCACGTGCACACACTCTCACACACTCTCACACTCATACTCATGCACACTCACACATACCCAGACACACACACTCACACTCATACACATACACACTCACATAGACACACTCCCACACACACACACTCACACATGTGCACGCAACTGACACACTCACACATTCACACTCGCACATGCACACACACACGCACACACACTCACTCATGCACACTTGCACACTCAGTGACTCACACACAGTGATGCACACATACTGTCACACACTCACACACATACGTGCATACACACACACTCATACACTCACACATACTCTCAGACTCATGCATTCACACATACACTCACACGCTCACACATTCACATTCACTCACGTGCACAATACTCTCACACACTCATACTCACACTCATGCACACTCACTCACACACATACCCAGACACACGCACTCACACTCATACTCACACATACACACTCACATACACTCTCACACACAAACACACACTCACACATGCACTCACACACTCACACATGTGCACACAACTGACACACTCATGCACACACACATGCCCTCGCACACTGCACACACTCACACACATACTCACACATGCACATTTTCACACTCTCACACTCTCACACACTCACACTTCACACACTCACACTCACTCACACCCTGAGGCATGCATATTTGATTGTTTTTAAAACGACATTTTGACGCGGATACTGCTGGGTTGAACACACTCACCACCTCACTTCCTGCGGGCAGTACGGTCGGGGGACAGCAGCGGGTTGTCCCTGCAGTCTGGTGAGAGATCTGCTTCCCCTTGAGCAGGTGAGGAGCCGGCTGGGCTGGGGCTGGTGCCTCTCCCGGCCCCGCCCTCCCGGGCTGCTGGCCGAGGCTCCCATGGCCTTCGCTCCCCTGCAGGGACCCCGGGGTTCAGGTGCCACCTCCATGACCCTCCCCACTGTCCAACACTCCCGAGCTCCAGGACTTAGCCCAGAGTGTCCGCCCCACAGCCATGTTCTTACCTTGTCCCCGTGGCTATTCCTACAGAGAGGGCCCGTTAGAAAAGTGTCCCCAGACAAAGGCCCTCGAGCGAGACCCTTGGGTTCGCTCTGACGACACCCTGTGTCCTGTCCCTCCCACTTGGGAGGCCGAATCACCGTCCCTCTGCCGGGCTCCTGAGGCTGACGGGCACATCCCGTCGATCTGGACCCGGCTAGCCATGGAATCGTCACAACGTCTGTGACAAAGTCGCATCAAAAGTGGGTCCCAGCCCCAGGTAAATCATCACGGTAGAGACTGCAGTCAACACAGAAAGTCACACATACAAGGGAACTGGGTCATTTTCATGCGAAACTTGTCAGAATAAGCCAGACACGATGACCACACATGCTTAAGCAGGGGTGCCCGGACTGGGCTTCACGCTCCCTTGGGGACCGGGCAGCTCCCCCTGTGCTCTGGTGTTGGTCTGGGAGCTGCACGGCCACGGGGCCCCGCAGCCAGTCCCCTCCGTGTCCTCACATGGGCCTGATGCTGGGGCCATGGCCCCGCGACCCCCAGTCCTTTCCATTTCGTTTATTTTCTATTGGTGTCTGCTAATCGAGGAATTTTTTTTTAACGCATTACTAAAAACATTCCCTTTTCAAGGATAAGTGATCTCATGAAGGGACATTTGAAAAACCGAGGAAAGGATTTTTAAAACGCCACTGTCTTTGACAATCTGTTAGCGTTTGGGCCACTCACGGGCGTCTTTCCTCCATGTCCATTCATAGGGGGTCCAGCTCTCTCTACCATGTGTCACTGTATCTTTGTGAATCGGACATATTATTTTTATCGTTAAATTTTAGACATTCATGAGGCTGTTACTTTTCTAAAAAGTGAGAAACTTTTTAAAAATTTTAAGCCAGGTTTATTGAAGATAATTTATGTACAAATTTATTATGTACCTAAGTCGTCCGTTTTTAGGGCACAGTTTGGTGAGTTGTAGCAAATGGCCGCAGGCAAGTAACCACCGTACACTGAGGTACCAGCCATTCTTTACCCCCCAAGTTCCTCTCCCCACCCCCACCGTGCCCCCAGCAATGCCGACGGGCTTTCTGTCCCTATAGTTTGCCATTTTCAGAGTGTCATAGGAATGGGGTCACACAGCTTTCCTGTCGGCTTCTTTCACTCAGCATCATGCTTTTTGAGATTCATCCCTAGAAAAGAAAGTTCGTTTTTTCTTTTCGCTACATGGTATCCGCCACAGGGATACAGTGAAACCCGTCCATCTCTCTCGTCATGGAGTGCTGGGCATCTCGCTTGGTTCCAGTTTGGGGACATGAAGGAAGCTGCTAGGACAGTCCGTACAGGTCTTCGTGTGGGAACACGTGTCTCCATTTGTCCCTGGTAAAGCCCCAGGCGTGGGTTTGCTGGGAAGCGCGTGTTTTGCTTGTAACGCACTGTCCCCGTGTTTGCCAGAGTGGCTCGTCCCATTCTGCATCCCTGCCAGCAGTTACACGAGTCCCCGTCACTGCCGGCGTCATCTTAGTGTCGGCCGTCAGGAGGTGTGTCGCAGTGTCTCTCTGAGGCTTTAATTTGCATTTCCCTAATGATTAATGATGCTGAGCACTATTTTCCCGTGCTGGTTTGCCATCCACATATCTTCCTCAGTAAAGCCCTTTGCTCATTTTGAAATGGAGCGCGTTATCTTGCTGCTGAGTCCTAAGCGTCCTCATACATTCTGGACACAGGTCCTTCATCACTTGCGTGTTTTGAAAATATTTTCCTCCCAACCCGGCTTGTCTTTCCGTTCTCTCAACGGTGTCTCTTGAAGAGCAGAAGTTTGGAATTTTGATGACATCCAACTTATTAATTTTTTAACTTCATGCTTCCCGCTCTTCACGTCCCCTTCAGGAAGTCTTTGACCCAGGGTCGGAAAGGTTTTCTCTTCCGTTTTCCGCTAACATTGTCTAATTTTAGCTCTTCCGTTTAAGTGTACGATCTATTTCGAGTTAATTTTCGTTGTGGTGCGAGGTTCAGTCTTTTTTTTTTTGGTCTATCTCTAGTTGTCTTAGCACCAGCGGCGAATAAACTATCCTTTCTTCCTTGAAACACCGTGGCACGGTTGTCACAGATCGGTCGCGTGTGTGCGTGTGTGCGTGTGTGCGTGTGTGCGTGCACGTGCGCGTGTGCGCACGCTCCTGCCCCGTCGATCTATTTGTCTTTTCCTCCGCCAGCACCTTGTCGTCTCGATAACGACAGCTTTGAAATCAGAGAGTGGGTGTCTTTATTCTTCTCGTACAAAATTATTTGAGCTGTTCTGGGTCCTTCAGCTTTCCCCATAAATTCTGGCAAAAGCTTGTCAATTCCTGGAGGAAAAACTGCCTCTTAGAATCGCGACTGGCATTGCACCGGTCTGTAGGTCATTTCGGAAGGAGCTTCTCCCGCATGCACTCATCACGTCTCTCCACCATCTTTGCTATGTAGATGGATGTTTATTGCTCCATTGGCGAAGCCGGAAAAAGATGGAAAACCGGAAAGAGCCTCACTGTGTATGAATGAGGGCGATGAGATTACGGCATGTTCCTCACGTAGAATACCATCCGGTCATTGAAGAGAAGTGAGATTTCTAGGTACACCGATACCGACTAGCTCTAAGATATAGCGCCAGAAAAAAACGTAAGGTCCAGGATAGGATATAGCGCGCTACCAGTTGTAATTTTTTAAATGGAGAGAAAGACGTAATGTTTACAGATGCACGGAGTATGTCTGGAGAGACAGGTAAGAGATTATTATCCCGAGTCGCTTCGGGAAAAGAATTGAAGGCCTGGGAATAGAGGGGAGGAAAGTATGGAAAATCTTTTTCTAGTTCGAGAAGAAGGGGCTTTTGGGATTAGATATCGCA